CTCTCAAAAAATGCCCATTGTTTAAAGAAATTGGAGAGTGAGATATACCTATTTTAAGCACTTGATATTAGACTACACATATTTAAAAAGACTGATGGGCAAAATATATAATCAATTAAGACCAGAAAGGTAAACTGTTCCTAAAACACAGAATGATGAAATAGTTAAATAATAGATGATTTAAAAGGAGCCGGCCCTCCTTTTAACTCAGGGTTTTAACATATAATTAAGCATATGTGAGAAAAGAGATAGAAAAGCAATATCCAATAGTAGCATTCCCCATGTGTTAACAAAGTCCAGGAGATGAACCAGAAGGGAACTCAAAAGGAACGTGTCCTTACTGAAGGCAGCAGAAAGGTTGTATATTTTATTTTTGATGGAATGGAGCAAAATTGTTTACTAAAATAACTCTCCAAAAATCATTCTGATGTGCTAATAAAATAGAATTTGGGGGGGAGGGGATGGCAAATGGAAAAAATAAAACTAAGCAATCATTTCCAACTGAATACCAAATAAATAGCCTACTTAAATTCCCACTTGTTAAAAGCTATTGTTCCTTAATGTTTCCTTTTTTACAGTTTTATTGAGATTTTAGTAAATGTGTACAGATGTGCAGCCATCACCACATGCCAGTTTTACAACAATTCCCTTAACTCTGCATCTTCCCCCATGCCAGCGAGCAATCTGTCTGTGCTCTTATCCCAACCTAAGCCAAAAATTGCTCTTATTTCATTCCCTATAGTTTCTGTTCTTCTGGAATTTCATGTAAATAGAAATACACAGTGTGTAAGATGTTCCCTTCCTTCCCTTTGCATATTATTTATAAAGTTTGTTCACATAGTAATTTATTCTTTTCCTTTTAATCACCAAATAATGAAAGACCATTATTGTATGAACATGCCATATCTTATAGACTCATTGTGCAGTTGTTGGGAATTACAGTGTTGCTATTCTAAGTCTGAATATCATCGTGTTTGAAAAAACAGGACTTTGGGAATTGTGTTCTTGGGTAGATGTTGAGGAATGGAATGGCTCATGTGCAAAATATCTAGTGAATGCTTCTGAAACCACCAAAGCCATTTTCCAAAGTGTCTTTGCCGTTGTTCATTTCCATCAACATGTATGAGCATCTCAGTTCTGACAAATTCTTGACAATACTTGCAATTGTCAGACTTTTTGATGATAGCTATTCATAAGGTTTTTAGCTGTGTGATATTAGGAACTGATGGTAGGGGTTAAGGAGAAAGACATGATAGAGAGAACCCAGAAATGCATTCAGACAAACCAGCATATTTTATTTTTGTAAAGGTGCAAAAAAATCCAATGTGTGAGTTGGTTGGGTTCGTTTGTGTGTTTACTACCATGAAGCACCTGAAAGTAAAAAACTGCATAAAGATAAAAGGTTTACCTAGTTAATAGCTTTGGGGGGCTCTAGTGGAAGATCAGGCAGTCCTAGCTGTAACGCCCTCTAGTGAGGGTGGCAGATGGCAATGGTGGAGTGTGTGTAGAGGTAGGTCATAGGCTGAGAAAGGAAAGCAAAGAACACAATGTATAACTCGGGCTTTTATATGCAACTCTTTCATGAGAATTGCCATGTTTCAACTGAATGATTCTATAACTTAAGGACTTGCCATTGGACCCATCAAATCAAATTTTCACTCTAGTACCATTGATTTATGACTTGGGAATTTAAGTCCTGTGTGAATTTGAGAACCAAATGAATTTCAAAACAGCGCTCTGTCTGCAGGTCCATGAAATGCATGTCCTTCTCACACACAACACACAATTCATTCACAGAGTTTGGTGGAGAGGATTAGCAGAGGTGGAAGGAAGCACAATACAGGGAGAAAGACCTTCAAGGCATCTTAGAAATCTTTAAGGACTCCTCTATCATTACAGACCCAGAGATATGCAAGGCCTCAGGATCTCTAAGTACGCCTGCCTCCCATATCGGATCAGATTTCTATCCTGCTAATATTGTGAGTTATAGCTTTGAGGTTTGAAGTCCTATGTGAGTTTGAAAATAAAGCCATATTCAGACCATAGCAGAAATCTTTTCAGGTAATTGTGATAAAACATTTGAAATCTATAGAAAAGAAAAACCTCTTCTATAATTTCACAACTTATACAAATATTAGGTAAAAATATATTACAAATTTAAATGTAAAATTATAGGACTGAAAATATATATGAGGAAATTAACAAATGGAGAACTAGTCAGAATTCTTATACTTGATACCAGCTTTACCATAAGTTGATAAGTTGGAGCACATAGAAAGTAGAGATATTTTCTTTGGTAAAAGACTTGTTAGTAGTTAGAAAACCCAAACTAAATATTGATAAAAATATGTTTACAAAGCTAGTAAGCAGGAAATATTTACAACTCTCAAATGCAATACTAATATAACTAACAATCCAATTAAAAATTAGACAAAGGGCATGGATAGGTATTTAATTGAAAGGCAACCAATAAGTACATGAAGCATGTGCACCATCATTAACTGTGATGAAAATGAATTACCAGTATACACCAATCAAAAATAGCAAAAATTTTTTAAAGTGTTAACATGAAATGCTGATAAATATTTGGAAACAGAATCACACTTTGCTGGCAGGAATGTAAAATGGTATACTTTGATAATTTCACAATCCTTCAAATCTAAACCTAAAATTTCTGTAACACCTAACAATGTTTCACAGGACCAGTTATGTGAATTAAGTATGCTAGGAGAAGCTGAAACAAAGCCATGATGAGTGACAGAAGCTGCTTTTTTTTTTCAACCAAATCCATAAGTCATTTTCAAATATATGTCTTCAATTTCACATTTATATTTACTCATTTGTTTGGGCGGGGGGAGAGACAGAGAGAGGGCGAGCGAGAGAGAGAAAGTGCTCCGATCGAGCTGTTCACTCTCACAACTCCACAATGGCCATTGCAAAGTAAGGTCAAAGCTGGAAGCTGGGATCTCAAATCCAGGGTGCCAGGGGCCCAACTACTTTGGCAAACATTTGCCACCTCCTGGGGTGCACATTAGAGGCAAGCCAAAATTCCAAGTGGCACCAGAACATAAAATAAGCCACTTAAATCAGTATGAGATATAGGCATCTCAATTGGCAGCTTGATATCCTTCTGTATTGAATACAATACAGCCTGAATAATTTTATATGAATTGCACAGATAAAACCAAGTGAAGAGTGAAGAATAAGGAGAAATAAGTTAATCATGTATTTTCAGCAAATTTCAGTGCTTCCTACAACACTTATACTCTGAGAGTTTGGCAAGTAAACTATTACAAACGGAAAAGTAAAATTGTCAAATAGTCAAATGTATATAAAGTTGGCTATTTCTTTACAAAAAATGCTTTTGCCAAGATTTTCTAAAAACTGTAAGTTCAAACTTACAGAGGTTAATGGCATATGTGTTACATGTTGAGTTTTTAATGTGTATATAAAACAGAATTTTATCAATCAGCATATTTATCTGATGTATTCTAACCTTATAAACAGGAATTGTGTTTGACAATTGTATTTCAACAGCATGTTTCTGGAGAAGAATCCCTTGGTACAAAAATTCTAAGTTACTAATCAAAATAAGACACTTTCCCAGCTGAAAAAGCAAACAAATAAGTTTATGAAAAGTGACTCATATTTGGTTGAGAAAACATTTTTTTATTATGATGATTTTTAGTTTGTTTCTTGCCTGAGGTTTTAGTTATAGAGCCACACACATTTCTTTCAGAGGTTTCTGTAGGGTTTGTTCTAAATAGGTCAGCTCTCAAAACAAATTCTTCTGCTTTTATTCATTACATAAAATAATCTTTCAGGTAGGTTACGAGTCTGCTCGTGATGCTTGAGTCACGTGTCATAGGAATCAGCCCAAGCCCCAACTTCTCCATCTTTGAATCAGCTTTCTGCTTTTGAGCAGCTTCTGAGATAGCAAATAATGGCTAAAATACTTTGATCCCTGCCACCCATACAGGAGACCCAGAGACACAGAACAAGCTCTCTGCTCCAGTTTAAACTTTGCCCAGTCCTGGCTATTGTGTCCATTTGAGTTGAGACAGTAGATGGAAGATGTCAATATCTCTTTCAAGTAAAGTGGAAATAAGTAAAAACAAGCACTTTTCTGTCAGTAACATTCTAGGTTGAAAATAATTGTGCTGGAATCTTAAGACATTCTTACATTGTATTTATGATGCAATTACTCTTATCAATATTTCAGTAGTCAGAGAAGTGAGACTATCACTAATCAATTTGTTATCTCAACACAGAGGAGTTCCTCATGATTATCTCATTTCACCAAACCCAGTGTCGTAAGTGTGCATTAACAAACTTTTTCTTACTACCCTTTGCAACATGTAGACCTTCATTTTACTCAACACAAGGTTGGCTCATCTGTGGCCAACTGGACTGGAAGGAGTCACTGTTGGAAAAGTGTTCACGAAGGCCGGAAGGGCTGAGAGGCTGCCCCTGCCTGGGTGGGAAAGCACGCAGGGGCCCCGTCAGGAGCTCCCTTCTGACCATTCCTTTGCTTGCTGAAGCTGCAAAAACACAGAGAGCTGCAAGATCCTTACTTCTTTAGGACATGAAAAGGAAACCATGCAACAAAAACAAGTGGTGTCTGACATGGCATGAATTCTTTTACAAAGATATGAGTTGATCATTACAGGATCTCGACATAATTTTCCACTGATCAGGCTGAATGACCACACACAAAAAAACTTTATTCTCTTATCATGTAGTGGCTACAATGATTATAAAAAAAGCAAATGGTCCAATTTAAAATATCATATTCCCTACTATAATATAAAATATTAAGAGCAAACTAATTTGATGCATTATTAGAATTATCAAATAATTCAATAAGATATAAATTCAAAGCTTAATTTTCTAAAGTTGAATATGAACATAATTATTTTAATCTCAATGAAAATTTCCTGTAGTTAAAAGAGTCTAACAGATTTTGCTAAGAGGGGGGAAAAAACACCTTAAATGACATTATTTAAAAGATGACGAATTTATGTTCAACTGTTGAATGATTACAGACATGAACCAAAACTTAATTCTGAAAGAGAGAAAAAAAAAGACAACCTTCAAGGAAAAGTTGTGAGAATACACTGAAGTGAAACTCAGTGGATCAATCTCTATCAAAAGGCTTTAGAGTGTGACTACCTACCCACGTATGATTGGAACCTCAGAAAAGGCAAACATAGTGCATATTGCATGCTGCGTTATTGATACGTTGAAATGTTGTAAAGAGAATTAAATGCCTCTAAAGAAATGCAACGATTGCTTTAACTCGAAAACATCAATCTAAAATTAAACTCTTTAACATCTAAAACACCTAGTGTTATATTGTTTTCTTTCCTGTTTTTAAACTAAATGATTTTTAAAAAATTTAGCAGATTCATATTTAAAACTATAACCATATATGTGTTGCCAATTCCAACACATAACACTTAAGGCCAGTGGTAGCTCGTAATTCAGAGAAAACTTGGAAACACAACACACACATTTTGAAATTATTTTCCTCTGTTTTGATCAAAGTCTACAACCTTCTCTATGTCTGTTGAGCATTTTTGCGTAATACCAATATAATCAGAAAGCCAATGTTGTTATACATTAGATTAAGCTGCCACATACAACGCTGACATCCCACATAAGTTCTGGCTCCTCTCCTTCTGCTGACGCTTCGTGCTGACGCACATGGGAAGGCAGCGAAGACACCACAAATTCGTGGGACCTTACCACCCACAAGGAGCTCCAGTGAAGCTCCTGCTTCCTGCTTCTTGGCTGCAGCCTGGCTGAGATCTGCCTACTGTGGCCAAGTTCAAATAAACCAGGCCATGAAAGATCCCCCTGTGGTCTCTTTCTTTGTCTCTGTATTAACTTGGGATTGGAAAACAGGAGATCAATACATCTTTAAAAGAAAAATGAAATGAGAAACATCATCTTATTGTCATAGCAGGTTTTAAAAGATGACAAGTCTTTTAACATCTTTAAACAATGGTCACGTCGTATGAATATCTAACACAAAATTACAGGAAGGGTTTAAGTTCTCTGAGAGCTAGAAGGGAGCGTCATGCAGTTCTGTTCCCATTCACAAGAATGGGGAAGCATTTTTCTTCCAAAGACCATTTCGATATTTAGAACAACATTGGTGGGCCATACACAGTTACCAGCTAAAACATCACGCTATTACAGATGTCTGAATTTTGACCCGCTTACTGTTGTCTTAGCACAATCAGACCTGATGGTTTTACAGGCCTTATGCGGCCCACGGGTTGGATGCTCCCAACCCCTGAAAGACTGATATTGTAATTCTCTTTTCATAACTTGAGCTGTCTCTTCTTTCACAGAAAATGAAATTATGTTAAAATTTCATGAAAAAGTATGTATTGAAACTTTAGAAACCTTGTGGGGAGAATGAGAAAGAAAATCACTCTGGGCAGCAGAAACTGTAACTGAATCAGAACAAGAAACCCAGGGAAAACTCTTGGTACTTTGTACAAACATTGCAACGCATCTCTTACCACAGTAATTACAGGAACTAAAATCACAATCTAATTTTTGTCTAATTATACCTTATGATGTAAGAGGCGACTGAATTTATGCCATGCTGAAATGGTTGCTATCCCACCTTACGTCTCGTCATTCTTACTGTTCTGAAACACTGCTTCCCAATCGATGTTAACTCTATGTGAAACAAATCAAGTCTTCAGAGCATATCAATGCACTCATGCTCAACAGAGTGTGTTAAATGTTGTTTGCAGAAGTGTTTGGTGCAATCAGAATGCAGGATTTCAAAACATGTCGTTTCTCAATTAGGCATTTTCTATTATCCCATTGAATAAATAAAGATTTTAAACCAGTTTTTCAGTGCACAGCAAACTTTAAAGTTCATATATCCATGATCTGTGGAAGCAAAGCCATGTACACTTCTAGTCAATACTAGCTAAATTAGGTTTTCTATTAATTAAGCAAAATTGATTTCTGAAAAAAATGAGATAAAGTATCATTTCTACCACCTATATACTATACACGCTGGTGCCAAACATGAAAGCAAATTACTATTTGTGGGTTTTGATACATTGTCAAACTTTCCAGAGCTTTCCCATTTAATCCTTCTGATAATCACACGAATCAAGCTTCATTATTATTTTGCCAATGTGGAAACAGAGATACAGAACAATGCTGGTAAATAAATTCAATTCATTTAGTTCAAACATATTTTATGACAAAGATGCTAAGAAAGTTTCCAGAAAATAAAATGATAAATTTGGGTGATTTTTGTGTTCTATTTTCCAAATATATGGCATTTTAAAAGTACAAGGCATGCTACCTAAACAAGGACCCTTAAATGATGTACCAAATAATTGGTCTGTCTTATGATCCCCTCAATGCAAGGATGGATTGACCCTTAAATATGGGTAGAGGTTTTGAAAAAGGATTTATGCTGCCCTACCTTTGACATTAGTATAACCCTGACAAGATTTTTTTTAGCAAAACGTATCTCTAAAATGCTTTTACACAATTAGCTAATTGCTTTAATATCATATTAATAATAATCTTTAAATCATTCATGTATTGCACAAGCTTCTGGCTTCTGGTGTTGGATTGACTCAGCTCCAGCCTTTACAGCCACTTGGGAAGTGAACTAGCAGACAGAAGATCTTTCTCTTGCATATTCTCTCTGCACATATATCTGTCCAATTAAACAAATTTTAAAATATACATATACTTCCTAAGATATAATACATAAAATCTCATTATAGATCCACATTAACAAAGGAACATTTTCAACTAGCTTGAACTTGAACTCAGCAAAATATGACTCCAGAATTTACTTCTCTTCATTTGTCAATTTATTTTACAAAATAGTCAAATAGTATTGTGTTTCGAATCTATTATTATGGAATATCCTATTATTATAGAATATATAGAATAATATAGAATATATTACTATATTAATATAGTGATATGAACATTAATGTTAATTAATGCATTAATATTAATATAGAACATCCTATTATTAAAGAATATCCTAATATCCTAGCATGTTTTTCTCTTAGCCTGTGCAGTTTAAAATGTTCATTATCTGGTTAGTTACAGAACAAAGTTTGGTGATACATGTTCTCATTTCTTTACAACTGCATTTCAAACACTTTAGAAATATATAAATAACTTCATGGTGTTTTTTATTCTAAACAAAATGCTTTTATCTTCCAAAACTGCTTTGCAATTCACAGAGTAATCATTAAACTATTTTTATCCTGAACAAGAGAACTCATGGACTGAGGTTATAGAAATCGAGTAAATTAAAGATCTAATAGGTATTTAATTTAAGAAGGCAATGGGCATGAGAGAAAAGGGAGCTGTAAAAGAAAAGTAGATAACTTTGGTTTAAACACATTACAAAAGTAAAGAAATTTCCTCGGGTATAAACAGAAATGAATGTGAGAATGTGAACAAAAAATGACAGAGTAGAATAATTTAAACAGAAAGGTTAATTTTAAGTAGTTTGGAAGGACAGAAGTTGTTATTTTGATAATGCTCTGGAGAATGTGTAATTTGAAAATAAAATGTGTAATAAGAAAGAACTCTAGAACTTCTTTTAAATATAATCATTGATTCGTTATGGAGATCAGTCATCTGTAACCAGCACAGCTTACGTTTGCACAGCAAGACAACTCTTTTCTCCACAATCAGTGTAACAACAACAACAAAAAATCCCTTCCAATCTTCCTAAATAAGCTCAAGACATTATTCTCTTCATTTTCAGTATTCTTAGTTACTCTTAATTGAGCAATATATTCTACTTGTGATGAGCTATTAAGTGACAGTCTTACCCTTTGATAATCGCAATGGTTTCGTTAGACTTTTTTGAAGTGGTCACCTTCTTTCTTCTAACTGCTCAAGTTAAAATCTGAAACAAGAAATGTAATCACAAGGCCATTAAACAAAAAGGATCCACGGATTGCTGCATTTGAAACATTCAGAAGATGACAGCATGATTAAACTGCTTCCAAGAAAAGAATTAAACATCAGATACCATTAGCAAAATATGATCAAAGACAAAGTGAATAAGTGAGTGTTGAGGCTAGGAGAGATAAACCACTAGCTGAAATGCAAGCATTCCACATTATAGAGGTAGTTTGTGTCCTGGCAATCCTGACTCTGATCTAGCTTCCTGATAATGTCACTGAGAAAGCAGCAGATAATGGCTCAAGCACTTGGGATCCTGTCAATGTGGGGGAACCACATGCAATTCTGGGTCCTTGACTTCAGCTTAGTCCTGCTGGTATCTAGCCAATCAATCAGCAGATAGAACTTTTCTCCCTCTCCTTTTGTCTCTTCTTCTCCTTGGGTCCCTATGCCTTTCAAAAATAGACATAAATACTTTCTAAGAAAAACTGAAGATACAATTGTAAAATTCATATGAAGACCTGAGGGAGGCTGGAGATTATGACAAAGGGTCATTAGGTCAAGCCATATAAATAAATAGCTCTTAAAGAAGAAGAGATTAGCCTTAAAAAAAAAAGAATAAAAGTCCACTTAGGGTCCTGATTCTGGAATCTAGGAAGTCCAAGAGCACAGCATGGACACCTGTTTCATCTGGTGTTAGCCTAATGCATCATCACCTGGTGGTAAGGTGAAGGTCACCCAATGACAGAGCAAGCAAGAGGGTGCTAGCTTAAGTTTTCCTTTCTTATAAATCTATCATTGCAATTTTGGGTATCCCAGCCTCACAACCTCTTCTAATTATTTCACTAAAGTCCCATCTTTCAATACCATTAACATAGGATCTGGGGAACTATGTACTATGTTATTCAACAGGGAAATAAAGTAAAAAAAAAATGACTTGTTAAGAAATCTTTTAGAGTTTTATTCAAGTAAGATATTGAACCAACACAAGTGCTTGGTAGCTGTTAAACAGATAAACTAATAATGGTGTCTGCATAAAATGGAGTACTACTAATAAAATTAGAGTAACAGACTATTAATGCAGACCACATGGTTGAATCTCATAATCAATACACTCAAAAGAATATAGACATTGAGATGAAGCTCATA